GGACACGACGACCAGTGCGAGCAGTACGAACAGGCGACGCAGGACGAGACTCAGGCTCACGACGCTCTGTAAGACCTCCTGTGGGACCAGCGTAAGGAGAGGGAGCAGGGAGAGGTGAGGCAGGCGGTAACTGTGACTGCGGCTGGACAGGCAGAGGACACTCGACGGAGGGAGGAGGACTAGGAGGAGGAGCCTGACCAAGAACCTGCTGAAGGAGCGGTACGAAGTACGGTCGCGGCCGCGCAGCGTCTCCAGAAGCAGCAGGGACACCAGTGGCAGCCCCAACGCCCGAGTCCTCAGCACCAGCAGCAGCTCCAACGCCCGGGTCCTCAGCACCAGTAGGAGCGTCACCGGTCGGGTCCTCAGCACCAGCAGCAGCGCCACCAGTCGGGTCCGCAGCACCAGTAGCAGCTCCAACGCCCGGGTCCTCAGCACCAGTAGCAGCTCCAACGCCCGAGTCCTCAGCAGCAGCAGCAGCGCCACCGCTCGGGTCCTCAGCTCCAGCAGCAGCTCCAACGTCCGAGTCCTCTGTACCAGCAGCAGCGCCACCAGTAGCAGCTCCAACGTCCGGGTCCTCAGCACCTGTAGCAGCTCCAACGCCCGGGTCCGCAGCGCCAGGAGGACCACTCCGAAGACTGCAGCGCCGTGTGTACCACTCTCGAATCACCTGAATGGGGGGGAGCTCCTGGGAAGGAGGGGAAGTACCGGGACGAGCTCCAGCAGCACCTCTCCGGAGGCGGCAGTACTCGAGGTACCTCTCCTGCAGCTGCTGGGAGGAGAGGGCTCCTCCAGGCGTAGCACGCTCAGGCTCAGCACCCCCAGACGTAGCACCCCCAGACTCAGCACCTCCAGGCTCCGCACCCCCAGGCTCCGCACCCCCAGGCTCAGCACCCCCAGGCTCCGTACCCCCAGGCTCAGCACCCCCAGGCTCCGCACCTCCAGGCCCAGCACCCCCAGACTCAGCACTCCCAGGCTCAGCACCCCCAGACGCAGGACGCGAGTCAACAGCTACCTCGACAGGCTCACCCGGGTCTACCTGGGACACACCTGAGGGAGCGGCACCCTGAGGGGGGAGGGGGTCGGGTACCTCAGCACCTGGAGCGAGGAAGAGCGGCGGAGGGGGGAGGGGGGCAGTGCGGTAGGGGAAGAGGCGGTAGAAGGGGACGGACTCGTCAAAAGTGACGTCCTGAGAGGCCAGAACCCGGCGCGAGGTGACGTGGTAAAACTGCCATCCAGGCGCGTCGGGAACAAAGCCAAGGAAGACACAGGGAAGAGCGCGACGGGAGAGCTTGTCCACAGACGTGTCGCGGACAAAAGCTCGGGATCCCCACACCCGGAAACGCGACGCATCGCCAACCTCTCCCGTCCACCGCAGAGTCGGGGAAGTCTCCGGCAAGGAGACACGGGGCCAGAGGTTGAGCTGATGCGCAGCGTACCGGACCGCAAACGGCCACAGAAAGTGGGGAGCAGCCGCATGGGTCAGGGAGGTACGAGCGACCTCCATGACTAAGCCAATGCGGCGCTCAGCAACCCCATTCTGCTGTGGAGAGGCCGGAAGCGTGTACGACTGCTCAATGCCATGCTCAGCACAGTAGGCTGCCAAGAGGTCGGAGGCAAACTCACCACCTCTGTCAGAGTGCAAGCGTAGGACAGGAAAGTCCGAGTGAAAGCGCTCGCCTAGCTGGAGACGGGCTCGGCTGATCCAGGGGATCAAAACACCAGGGACGTCACCCTTGGCGCGCAAGGGGAAGACCGTGGTGTAGCGCGAGTAGTCGTCAACAACTATCAGGAAGTACCTCTCCTGACCCTGACCACGGACGCGGGCTGGGCCCCACACGTCCATGTGGAGCGTCTGCAGGGGAGCGGTCGTCGGGGGAAAGGAGGAGGAGTGAGGAGCGGCGCGCTGCCGCCCCTCGACACAGGGAATGCAGTCAGGAGCAGGGGAGTCAGGAAGGGGAGGGAGAATCCTGGGAAGACCAGCAACAAGGTCCCGTTTGTGCATGGCCCGCAGGCGCTGCACAGACGGGTGACCAAGGCGGTGGTGCCAGAGGACGGTGTCGTTCGCCAGAGAGCGACACGAGCAGGGGGCGGACAGCTGACCTGACGCTGACGCAGACGCAGCTACCTGAGGGGACTCAGTGGTCAGTGTGTACAGGTCAGACCCCGGCTCTCGAGTGAAAGTAGCTAGGTGGCGGCCCGTCCGAGCACACGTGCAGTGAGTCACACGCTCGTAGGCAGGGGTGAACTGGTGAACACCCCCGTCCTGGAGCGCACTACCTGCCACCAAGTTCGTGGAGAACGAGGGGAGGTAGAGACCTGAGAGCGTGCCGGACGGAACCGCTGGACACGGAAGGGTGGTGGAGGAGGTCGCAAGGACCGGACCCCCAGAGGGGTCAGCAAGAGAGACAGCAACCGGCCGAGCTAGAGGCTCAAGGACAGTGCGGTCACGAAAGAAAGAGCGAGAAGCACCTGAGTCCAGTGTGAAGGTGTGCAGTGCTGCAGTCGACTCAGTACCAGGGGGCACAGACGCACAAGCACCTAGAGCAGCAGCTGCAGTAGTACCTGTGGAAGCAGACACACTAGCACCTAGAGCAGCAGCGGGGCTGGCCTGAATGCCCGGGTCGGGCGGAACACGCAAGTACTGAGCACCCTCTCCACTAATAGACATCGCATACATGGCAGTAAGAATAGCATCAAAGTCTAGCGCCCAAATATCAACACCCTTCCTGAGCAGCTCAGCCCAGCGCGGCAGCTCACCCCCACCAGGAAACTGGGTGCGCCACGCATCGTTGAGGCGGGCGAAGCAGCGCTCCGTCTGGTGCGGCCCCCCACACGTCTGGCCAGTGCGGTCACCTGTACGAATAACGTACTGGCAGGTGACGCTGCGCCGCGCATACCACTCACGGGCGGCCTGAAGGGTCGGGGCAGGCTGCTGACTCTGACCGCCCCCCGGGCCTCCACGACCACCACCCCCTCCGCCTCCGCCCCGGCCACCTCCACCCCTGCCGCTGCCACGACCACCTCCGCCTCCGCTGCCACCTCCGCCCCTGTCACCACTCCCAACGCCGCTGTCACCTCCACCACTGCCGCCACTAGCCTCTCCAGTCGCACCTCCACCGCCACCACCTCCACCCCCGCCTCCTCCGCCACCACCCCCACTCCTGCCACTCCTGCCCCTGCGTCGTCCGCCTGAAGCAGACGCAGCCCCGACCTTCTCAGCACCAAGGAGGTCGACAGCAGCAGCAGAGGCGACAGAGGGGAGGAGGGGGGAAGGGGAGCACCCCTCGAAGAAGGGGCCGCGGGGGTCGCCACGAGAGGTGCCTACAGCGACGATACTAGCCTCGGCTGCAAGCAGTTCCTTCTCGAGGAGGTCTACGGTGAGCTCAGTGGGGGAGCGAGAGAGGAACTGGTCCCTGACAGGGCGCAGAGAGTCAGGGAGGCGGGTGACAACGTGGTAGAGAGTGATCCAGAGCGGGGGGGGGTTGCTAGCGAGGAACTCGTCAGGCATGGCAGCGCGAAAGCGAGCCTCACTAGTCTTAAGGTGGGTGATGAGGTCTGCGACAGTGTGAAAGGAGGCTAGGTCGGGGAACAGGTAGGGGAGAGTGAGGCGGCCTAGCGTGGCAGAAGCGGGTGAGGAGTAGCGGGCCACTACAGCTGTGTAGAGGTCCTTAGCAGTCTTGCACTGGCCGAAGTGCTCGCGCTCATCTAGCGGCAGGGAGTTGCGAATAGCAAAGCGAGCGTGCGCGTCACGGGTCTGCCACTGTGAGCGCTCAGTTGGGGGGGCAGTAGCGAGTGGGGCGGTCGCATGGCCGAGAGCGTGGTCGTACAGTGTAATATCTTCCTTGGCAGTGAGCTGTAGGAAAAGGTGCAGGTCATCTAGCCAGGTTTCGAATTTGACCGGACGGCCCTCGGCGTCGAAAGCTAGAACAGGAGGACTAGCCATAGCGACAGCGGCAGTAGTAGAAGCAGTAAAGTCACTGAAAAGGCGTGCGCAGGGTCAGCGGGGCCGGTGGGGCCTACGGACTGTAGTGGCGCACAAGCAGCAGTAGCAGGAAGTGTAGTAGCAGGATCTGCAGTGGTGCACAGGCGCAGCAGGCGGCAGCGAGAGCCGGCGCAGCAGGGGCGGGCTCAGCAGCGGCGATACGTGGGCAGCGGCGGGCGCAGCAGCGGCGGTGCGCGGGCGGCGGCGGGCTCAGCAGCGGCGGTGCGCGGGCGGCTGCGGGCTCAGCAGCGGCGGGCCGGTAGCAGGCAGTGCGCGGGCCGCGCGGGCCGTATGTGAGCTGTGCGGGCAGCGTGCGGGCCGGCGGCGGTCAGCGCACGAGCCGCGCAGGCTCAGCGCGGGCTGCGCGGGCTGCTCGCGGGCTGCGTAAGCGGGTCGCGGGCGGCTCGCGGGGGTTCGCGGGCAGGTCGCGGGCTGCTCGCGGGCAGTTCGCGGGCTGTGCGCGGGCTGCGCGGGCTGGTCGCGGGCTGCGCAGGCGGTTCGCGGGCTGTGCGTGGGCGGTTCGCGGGCTGTGAGCGCGGCGCGCTGTGCGGTTCGCGGGCGGCGTGACGGGGCCGATCGGGGCGCTAAGGGGCGACGCGACGGGGGCCGTGAGAGGCCGCTAGGAAAAAAAAAAAAAAAAAAAGTTCGACGGGGCCGCAGGGCCGCTAGATCGTGCTAGATCGACGGGGCCAGCGGGGCCGGAAACAAGCGAAGGTAAGCAGGTAGGTAAGTCGGTGGGCCCTAAGAACAGTCCTAGCGAAGGACCTGCTCTGAAACCATGTCAGAAATAACTGAGCAGGAATGGGATGAACTAGCACAGAGTTTGGTACAAGTAGGAAACCCTAACTTTGAGTACCCCCTAAGGTGTAACCCACTACAGCCTACACAATATAAACATGCAATGTTTGACACTGACCTCTTGTGGGACATTTGTCAGGGGGAGGGCATCCTCTAGTCGTTCACGCTTCCGGCCTCACCGCAGCAGAATGGGGTTGCTGAGCGCCGCATTGGCTTAGTCATGGAGGTGGCTGCTCCCCATTTTCTGTGGTCGTTTGCGGTCCGGTACGCTGCGCATCAGCTCAACCTCTGGCCCCGTGTCTCCTTGCCGGAGACCTCGCCCACACTGCGTTGGACGGGGAAGGTTGGCGATGCGTCGCGGTTCCGGGTCTGGGGCTCTCGTGCCTTTGTCCGCATTACCACCGCGGACAAGCTCTCCTCTCGCGCCATTCCCTGCGTCTTCCTTGGCTTTCCCCCTGACGCGCCTGGCTGGCAGTTTTACCACCCCACCTCTCACTGGCCTCTCAGGACGTCACGTTTGACGAGTCGGTTCCCTTTTACCGATTCTTCCCCTACTGCCCCTCTCCCCCCCCCCTGCCGCTCTTCCTTGCTCCAGGTCCCCCTCCGGTATACCCCCCCCCCCTCAGGGTCCTACTCCATCAGGTGTCTCTCAAGTAGACCGACTTCCCTTGGTTGAGCCTGTCGATGTTACTGGTGACTCAGGTGCTGCTGGGGGTGGTCTTGCCCGAGGTGCTATGTCTGGGGGTGCTGAGCCTGTGGGTGCGGAGCCTGGGGGTGCTGAGCCTGAGCGCGTGGAGCCTGGGGGTGCTGAGCCTAAGGGTGCTGAGACTGGGGGTGTTGCGCCTGAGCGTACTGATCCTAGGGGTGCTGAGCCTGGGGGTGCTGCTTCTGGGGGTGCTGAGCCTGGTGGTGCTGCTTCTGCTGGGGGTCTTCCAGGAGCCTCGCCGCAGTTGTCTCCCCAGCGTGAGCCCCTCTCACCACAGCAGCTGCGCGAGTGGCTTGCCCGGCGCACCCGCCTTCGGAGTCGCACTAGAGCTGGAGGTGCTGGAGCTGGAGGCACTGGAGCTGGAGACGCTGGAGCTGGAGGCGCTGGAGCTGGAGGTATTGGCAGTGGAGGTGCTGGAGCTGGAGGTCCTTATGCTGGAGGCCCTGGAGCTGGAGGTACTGGTGCTGGAGGCACTGACGCTGGAGCTACTGGAGCTGGAGGTGCTGCCACTGGACACGCTGGAGTTGGAGGCCCTGTGCAACAGCGTGAGCCCCTCTCACCACAGCAGCTGCGCGAGTGGCTTGCCCGGTGCACCCGCTTTCGGAGTCGCGCAGGAGCTGGAGGCACTGGAGCTGGAGGTGCTGGAGCTGGAGGCACTAGAGCTGGAGGCGCTGGAGCTGGAGGTGCTGGAGCTGGAGGTCCTGGCGCTGGAGGCGTTGGAGCTGGAGGCACTAGAGCTGGAGGTGATGGAGCTGGAGGCACTGGAGCTGGGGGCGCTGGGGCTGGAGGCGCTGGCGCTGGAGGCGCTGGAGCTGGAGGTCCTGACGGTGGAGGTGCTAGAGCTGGAGGCACTGGAGCTGGAGGCGCTGGAGCTGGAGGCACTGGCGCTGGAGGTACTGGAGCTGGAGGCACTGGAGCTGGAGGCACTGGAGCTGGAGGCGCTGGAGCTGGAGGCACTTGCACTGGAGCTTCTGGAGCTGGAGGTGCTGGCGCTGGAGGCGCTGGAGCTGGAGGCCCTGTGCAGCAGCGACCGTTTTTCTTGCCGCCGCCGCAGCTGTCCGAGCTTCCGCCCGAGTCGGTGCTCCGTCAGGTTCTTAGTCTTCCTTCGTCCACTGCCCTTCCTCCGGACTCACCGCTGCCTGCCCCGTCCCGTTACACTGAGCAGCCGGTCTCCCTTACAGAGAGTCGTAAGCCTTTGTCCCGTCTTGCCTCCCCTGTTCGCCGTGCTCGTCGTGTCCCGTCTCCGCGTCCTCCTCCTGTGCTAGGTACTCACACTATGGCACTTTGTCCTTCCTCTGTTCCACAGCGTGTCCCTCTGCCGTCTCCTCCTGCGTCCTCTCTCCCTGTCGTTCCGGACCCTGAGTCTGACCGTGTTCGTGCTGCCAGCCCTACTGTCACCCGTCTCCTTGCTACTGTTGTCACTGACCCGTCGTTTGAGTCTACTGCTGCGTCTGCTTTAGTTGCTGAGCTTGTAGACTTTGATGCTGCGTGTCGTCTAGACTACACCGCCAGTCTTGTTGCTGAGTCTGAGTTTGTCTGTCCTCCGTCCGTCGGGGGTGAGTGTGCTCTTGGCACGGACGTCCTTGAGGACAGGCAGGAGGACTTTGAGTGTCTTGCGGACCTCATCTCGTGGCCTGGCTGCTTACGCGTGAGGGAGACCCAGATGCACTAAACATCCCGACCCCGCGCTCTTACGCAGAGGCGATTTCGGGTCCCTACTCCTCTCAGTGGCAGACAGCCATGGACGCAGAGATGGCATCCTGGAAGTCCACAAGCACCTACGTCGATGAGGTTCCCCCACCTGGGGCGAACATAGTCGATGGCATGTGGAAGCGGCCGCCGGGTTCTCCGCCTGTCTTCAAGGCTCGTTACGTTGCACGAGGCTTCAGTCAGCGACAGGGAGTTGACTACTTCCAGACCTTCTCCCCTACCCCGAAGATGACCACTCTTCGGGTGCTGCTACACGTTGCCGCTCAGCGTGACTACGAGCTTCACTCTTTTGACTTCAGCACAGCGTTCTTAGAGGGCAGCCTGCACGAGGAGATCTGGCTGCGCCGCCCACCTGGCTTCACTGGGTCGTTCCCTCCTGGTACCCAGTGGAGCCTCTGGCGGCCAGTCTACGGTCTCCGCCAGGCGCCTTGTGAGTGGCACGACACACTGAGGACGACACTTGCGGCTCTTGGGTTTGCTCCTTCCACTGCTGACCCGTCGCTGTTTCTCCGCACCGACACCTCGCTGCCGCCGTTCTGCATCCTCGTGTACGTCGACGACTTGGTTTTTGCCACTGCTGATACTGAGGCACTCGCCCTTGTGAAGTCGGAGCTGCAGAAGAGACACATGTGCACAGACCTGGGTGAGCTGCGCAGTTACCTTGGCTTGCAGATCACCCTGACCATCACCCTGACTCAGTCTCACATGGTGCTGCAGGTCCTTCAGCGCTTCGGCTTCCAGTTCTCCTCACCATAGTCCACTCCTCTGCCTACCGGTCACTCGCTCTCAGCTCCACTTTCGGACGAGTCCGTAGAGCTGAGTGGCCCGTACCCAGAGCTTGTGGGCTGCCTCATGTACCTGATGACCTGCACTCGTTTTGACCTTGCGTACCCTCTTAGCATCCTGGCTCGCTACGTTGCGCCTGGGAGACACAGGCGAGAGCACTGGGAGGCTGCTAAGAGGGTGCTGCGCTACTTGTGCAGTACATCGGGCATGGGGCTGGTGCTTGGAGGACGGGGTGACATTGTCCTCACTGGACACTCAGACGCCTCTTGGGTTGACGACCTGGCTACGCAGCGGTCGTCTCAGGGTTACACGTTCAGCCTTGGTTCCGGCTCTGTTTCTTGGCGGTCTACCTGAAGCTCTTCTTCTATTCTCAGCTCCAGTTGTGAGGCTGATCCATGGCTGCACAGGAGTTATGCTGGCTCGCCGACCTGCTGATTGACTTGGGAGAGCGGCCTTGTTGTCCTCCGGTTCTGTACGTAGATAACAAGGCCGTTGTTGCCTTGTGTCACGATCACAGACTAGAGCACAGAACGAAGCACATCGCTCTTCGTTACTTCCTTGCTCGAGAGCTGCAGCAGCGTGGTCAGCTTCATCTTGCTTACGTGGCCACTCGGGCCAACACTGCTGATATATTCACCAAGGCACTTTCGCCTGGTGATCATCAGCGTCTCTGTACTGCTTTAGGCCTTGAGCCTGCTTCGTCTTACTTGCTCACTGCGTGACTTTCCTTGTACTCTGATCTGTATATATACTTGCATGCTTACCCCTGCTAGGTAGTTATCACTGTACTGTTTGCTCTCCTTTTTATAAATCTGCATGTGAACTGGCCTTGTGGTCATTTGATTGTGCTCAAAATGACTGGTGACTTCGTGATCCACCCTGAGCTTGCTTTGCTTTTCTTGACTGGTCTTGTGACCACTGGTTCTCCCCCACTTTGCCTATGGGGGTGTGTCAAACTGTAATGATGTTTGTGCCGTGTAGGCAGTAGTGAGGTAGCCCATAAGGGGTACAACCTAAATTAGGGTTAGTATTTGTACCCACTTCTCTACTCAATGCATCATTCTCTCCTCATCAGTTTCTAACACATAACAGGTTGCACCGGCTGTCCCTCGCTCAAGTGCAATGCGGACAGCTCCCTCTCCATCATGAGCGTTGCGGCGACGGAGGTAGGGGCGTGCAGCTCCTTCAACACGGTCCACGCCTTCGGACCGCAATCAACTTCCGGTAGCAGGTGCATAACGTGGTAACGCTGGTTCAGCTCCAAACTCTGCGACATCAAGTAGTAGCCAGCCGAGGCGCGCTCGTCCCAATCTTCACCAGCTCATGCGAAGTATTGCCAGCTCTAATACCAGCTTATTGGTATAAGGGCATAATAAATTCAAGCTATCATAAACTTAGAACCTCTCCTCGGGGTCACCTCTTTGTCCTTGGGTGCCTAGTACAAGACCAGCCCTATCCTAGAGTCCGAGTATGTAGAGAGAGGAGTCAAGAATAACTGAGTCAAATTAGCAAAAGTACATTGAACGTCCTGGAGCGTACCGTGCAGACCGTCGACCGGATTAAGCCGAGAACTTCATTTATCAAAGCTCGCACCAAGAACTTTAAAATAATCCAGGTCGCCAAATTTTGCCATCACGAAGCTACGGCTCTGACAGTGTTTGCCTAACATTGGAGTGCTAGCGTATTAGCGTTGACTCGGGTAGCATTCCACTGCCGAACCGCGTAGAAACGAAATTCTAGCAAGCAAGGAAAATCGCTTGAATCAATTTGACTATGTCCAGAGTACAAACAGAGAAGGATAAAAAAGCTTGAGCTAGCAAGGACCATGGGAATCAAGCTGGGAACAACCAGGGATGATCCCGAAAAAATCCAAGCAATAAAACCAACTTGGCTGGACGAAATATCAGGTGGTAGATTGGTAAAAAACCTCTGGTTCTGTTTTTCCAACCTGGGAAAGCAACAACCAGGTTCAGGTCCTAAAAACAGAACCTGTTTTGTCTTTGCCCAACCAGCCAAATGCTGGTTCCGCTGGTTTCTCCTGGCCTTGTAGCATGCAGATATAGACAAACAACATCCAACCTTCACCTTATTGTATCCTGCTCTGCTACACTATAGTTAACCAAACAAAACAGTACAATTTCGAGTTGGATAAAACTGAATCTCATACTCAAATCAACCGTACTACAAAGTTTCCAGCTTATTGTACCCTTATTGTGTCTGCTCTGCTACACTATAGTTAACCAAACAAAACAGTACAATTTCGAGCTCGTCCTTTCGGCTTGCACTGTTCATAGCGCGTTCAATGTTGTGTCCAAGCGCACATTGCGCGAGTACCTGTAAATGATTGAAACGAAAATTGCAAAAGCAAGCAAACACACGAACATTCCATTCACACAAAAAAATATTCGCGCACGCATACTCGTACGAACAGACGGCATGATGTCGTGCAATGTGAATTTGCACCCAACAGGTCGGGATGACACGTCCCATTTTAGGGAACTTATCGATCACTACGAGTATAACATCATGCCCTTGTGAGGTCGAGGGAGGCCTTGTGATGAAGTTGAGGCTAACGATCGCCCATGGCTGCTCCGTTACGGGTAAAGGCTGAAGTAATCCTGCTATTTTCTGCTTGCTACTCTTCATCCGCTGGCATGTGTCGCACGAGGTGACAAATTGCTGCACTTATGCTGCCGTCCATTGCCAGTAGTAATGCTTAGCTATCCCGTTGGTCTTCTTGCTCCCAAAAAGTCCCGAGTATGCTACGTCGTGAAACTGCTCCAGCAAGATCTATCGAAGTGGGGCATAGTTCGGTACCCAAATCTTTCCTGAGCCTTTTTTTATCGCCAAGTCTTCCTCCCACTGTAATAGTTTCTGTTTCTGTGCTGTAGAGATTTCTACATTCACAGAGTACCCATCTTGGAATAGACCCTTGAGAAGAGGGTTCATCCCGTCGAGCTGGATGCCTGCTACATGCCATTGGCGGCTTAGTGCATCAGCCTTGTTGTGTAGCCCTGGCTTGTAGATGATGTCGTAGTGGAAGTGTGTTTCCAGGAAGTCCATCCACCGCACCTGTCGTCGTGAGAGCGTAGGCTGCAACTTAATGTATTTGAAACTGTAGTGGTCTGTGTAGACTGTCGTCTTGGCTCCCTATAGGTAACACCTCTACGCCTTGAAGGCTGTTACTATTGTTAAGGCTTCCTTGTCATGGATTGGATAAATCAATTCTGCTCTGTGTCGCTTCTTACTGAGCTAGACAATGGGCTAAAACTGCGTCTGTGATCCTGCATCAGTACTGCTTTGACTGTCTGGTCACTAGTGTCTGCTTCCACCGCGCAATCTTTGTCTGGATCCGGTAGGATGAGTACTGGCGCCCGTACACAGTGCTGTAGCTGCTCCATGGCTTGTTGTTGAGGAGTATCCCATTCATAGGGCGTATCCTTTTTCAGTAAGTTTGTCAATGGCGTTGCTATGTTAGCGTACTATAGGACGAACCTGTTGTAGTAATTGGCGAAGCCTATGAACTGATGTAATCTCTTCACATTATCGGGAACTTTCCACGTCTTGACAGTTTCGATCTTCCGCAAGTCCAAGTGTACATTCTTCATACTCACTATTTGCTCCTTTTTCCTTAGGATCTCGAACACTTTCCACAGATGCTCCACGTGCTCCTTCATATTCTTTGAGTGGATCAAGATATCGTCCAGATACACCACATCACATCCATTTAGCGGCCGTAGGATTTGATTTATCTCCGCCTCAAAAATCGCTGGTGGATTGAAAGGTCTGAATGACATCACCAGGTGCTCGTAGGAGCCGTATCTTGTACGAAATGCCATTTTGAGGACCAGTTGTCCGCCAGCTTGATGTACGAGTAACCCAACCGTAGGTCCAGCTTCGAAAACACCGTCGCACCACACAGCTGGTCCAGAAGATCGTCTATGTGCAGAACGGGATATTTGTTCTTGACAGTATGTTATTTCAGTGCCAAGTAGTCGATGCACATCCGCAAACTACCATTCGACTTTAGAGTGAGGAGGTTCAGTGCGCCATAGGGAGAGGTGGATGGTGGACGAGAGACGGGTTTTCCACCTGGTTCCTCCACGATCTCGTGCTCGTGGGTTCGCGCTGGAGGCACTCCTGCAGGGAGGTCATCTGGCATGATGTCATTGTTTTCTGTAAACACCTCCTGTACTGCTGCAGGTAGCTCCGAGTTCGGCTTCTCCTCCCCTGATGCTGCCATAACCAGTGCTAAGTAACCCATGTTACTCTTGTTCATTATCCGTTCGAATCGTGCCAATGTCGTTTCAGAAACATCCCCTGTATCCGTCAAGATGCGCAGCTGCACACGTTTCTAATTGTTGTAGATGCTCGCCTTCCGGATGACCCAGTCTATGTCGGCATTGAACCGCTTCAGAAAATTATGCCCTAAGTTAAAATCTAATCCCGTAATGTTCACGATCGGCAATGTCAGCTTCCATCTCAATGCACCTATCTGTATCTGCAATGCTCATTCGCCGTAGATGAAAAGCTTCATGCCGTCCACCATTGTTGCTCTAAATTGGGTCTCTACCGAGGACTCCCCAATTTTCTCCAACGTCCCATGGTTGCACATCAAGTGGGACTCACCACTGTCCACCAGTGCATAGAGGCGTCGTCCGTTGTGGATCACCTCAAGGAGTAGTGGTTTCTGTTTCGCTGAGTAGCCAAAGATAGTCTTGTCAATAAGATCATATGGTATATCAAATTATTTATAATTCCTATTTCTTATACCTGACTCAGCACTCTTTGCTTCTAACTTCACCTGGGGGATAGAATGATTTTTTTGAAGCTGATACAACTTTTCCTGAGCCTAGAACCTTCCCGTAAGCCTTTGCAGCTGTGTAGGTTTCACCTGTGGGAAATAGGGAGCATTAACTCGGTGCTGTGGGGAGAGAATGTTAACTCCTCGAAACGCTCAACCCTTTTTA